AATACATACTAATATACTATCCCTTTTCAATTTCTTAACACAGCACAACATGCAGTTCCCAACTCTCATAGTTTCACCAGTCACCAACTCACATAGACCACCACGCGCACCAGGGCATTACTCGAATCTGCCAACTTTCACATTCAACAAATGACATCCACAGCCACACACAAAATATAACGCTAATCTAATACAAATATAGAAAAAATATATTCCACTTTCCAGTTACCAAATCCTTAGAAACGTAAAAGAAAACATAAAACTGCTCGCTATATGCAGGAATTCAATAAGGGGAAATTGTAGTCCTAGGAGAAATGAGAATATAATAAGAGTAAATGATTCATACAGGCCCTGCTGATCCTGGGTGGCGTGGTAGAGAGCATCGTCACGATAGATACGGCAGCGAGATCCGACGGCTTGGATAGACTGCTGCGGGTCGCCGCGCCTCTTAGCCAGGTAGACAGCGCGTCTCTGGGCCCGCTTCCGAGCCGCGTCCATCATGTCATGTACCTTTTTCTCCGACCGCCTCGCTTCGTGCCACATAATTCCGATCAAATCGGTTATCACAGTCACCTTCCGGCCCCAAGTTCCCGGTTTGATGGTAACTCTTTTGTTCTTTCAATTGGGAATCAGAAACCCTAATCCCCGGGAGTCATTTTAAGCAGTCATACATGGGAGTAAGGAAGAAGTGAAGAACAATGAGAAAATCTGCGAACAATTGTCAGTGTGTGTGTACAATAAGCTAGCGGAAGCTGAGGACGAGACCCGGATTTAGATAAGCTGCAGGCCCGTGTATACCTGCGAAAGCGTAGTATAATTTTATTGGATTGGGTTCTAATTTTGTGTTCGCATAGCTCACAGGCCCACCCAAACATGTTCTGTTTCTTACCCGTCCCAGAAATGAGCGGGTACTCGATTAAGGTAGGATCGAGTCAACGGACACTCGTCCGTCTAACTTATCATTTAATTATTTAATTATTTTATACTAATTTAATTTTACATCTTTTATATTCATTTAAAACTTAATAAATATTTTTTTTCAAAAAAAATCTCTTCCCAAGAAACAAATGTGTGAATAGAATACAAGAAAAATGAAAAAATTTAAAATAATTCAAAATTAATGAAAATTTAAAATAAGTGGTACCTTTTTTAAATGTATATTCTACATTAATTAAACTTTTTTCCAAAAAATAAGATCATGACCTCTATAAATGGATTTTGTCAACAAACTATAGTTTTCCATATTTTTAATGTAATTTGTTCAATGAAATTACTTATTTAACTCCAAAAAATATTGGCCCCGTTTGGCAAATGAGTTTTTTTTGTCACTATCTAAAATTTTATTATAATTTACTCTAGAAGGTGTAGGAAAAATTTTTAAGATGGAAAACTTTTTTTCCCCTTTTTTTTTCCTTTTTCTCTTTCTCTCTCTATCTTTCTTTATTTTTCTTTCTTTTATTTTCTCCCCTCTCTTTTTCATATCTCTCTCCCTCCCCTCCCCCCCTCCATTGGAAGCTGTAGCAACAACAACAACAATTTTTTTCTTGCATTTTGCTCTCTCTTCCTCTTCCCCTTCTATTCCCTTCTTTCCCTCCCCTTCCCCACCACCTCTCCCTCCCTCGCCCCCGATAGCAACAGAATTTTTTTTTTTGCTCTTTCGCTCTCTCTCTCTTCCCCTCGTTTCCTTTTCTCCTTCCCTTTCCTCTTTCCCTTTTCTCCCTTCTTTCCCGCCACCCTCCCTCTCCCTCCTGCGCAGATTGGGCGACCTAATCTGGCCGTGCGGCCAAATTGCACAGGAGGGAGGGATAGGGTAGCGAGAGAATAAAATGAGAGCGAAAGAGGTGGCAGGGAAGAGAAGAGAAGAAAGAAAGAGGGGAGGGAATGAGAGAAGGGAAAAGAGAAAAAAAAAACACGTATCTTTGCCGGCATCAGATGAAGTAATCAGCGTTGAAGGTGATGGTGGGTTGATGTGGAGGAGGAAAAGGAGAAATGTAGGAAGAGAATTTTTTTTTTGTGTTTTGGGTATTTTAAAACATGTAGTTTAAAAATTTCGAGAAATTTTTTGAGATTATTGTAATTAAAATTGTTAAAAAACTAGTATGAAATAAATTTGGCCAAAAATTCATTTGCCAAACAAACCCATTATTTGTAGCATATGTATAAAAATAAATAATAAAAAATATATATGCGGGAGGATCAAGTGCCTGTGAGTTTTTAATCATGTAACCCTAACCTAACTGCATATGAGTTGGTGCTAGATTTTTTTTCAACCCGATCAAATATGACAGGTTTTCGGGTATTTTTGCTCACCCTTAATGTTGGCTCTTCAAAAGTCTGTGACCAAACCCAATGAAGTTTAAGATCCTTGTCTTCACATATTTCAGGTCAAATTAAATAAAAAACAACTATACAAACTAGTGATGAGGCACATCTAATGTGTGTGCAATTTAGAAACAATCACTTTTTATATGGAAGAATTTATATAAAAATTTTCATAAATGAAAAAAATAAACTTTGATGGTTTAAAAAATTTTTAATAGAATTTTAATTAATTTGATGGTGTCAATATTTGTGGGTGGTTATGGGTGAAAATTAGTTGTTGTTACATCCGTTTGCTATATGCGCAACATGCAATCAGACGGTAGAGTTATAATTTAGTGATTTGTAAGTAGGGGTGCTGTCGACTCGAGGCAAAATAACTAAGATCGAGCTTGAACTCAAGCTCGACATCAATTTATGGAACTCGAGCTCGACATCAATTTATGGAACTCGAGCTCGAGTTTAATTAAATGTAATTAATTCAAATCAAGCTCAATCGAGCTTATTCGAGCTCAATCAAGCCTAATCAAGCTCAAGTAATAAAAATTAATATTTTATATATAAATTTAAATAAAGGATATTATTGACATTTCACAATAATAAAAATTAAAATATATATTATAAAAAACTCGATAGAGCTCGTCGAACTCTCAAGTATTATATTTTCAAACTCGAACTCGACTCGATAGCTCTAACGAGAAGCTCGAACTCGAGCTTGGTCAACCGATCTCGAGCTCGAGTTGCTGACCAAGTAACTCGTGAGCTCGAGCCGAGTTACTTGGTTCAGCTCCAGCCCTATTTTGTAAGGATAAAGTTGAAAATTTAAGAAGGGACGAAAAAAAAGTTTATACTAAATCCAAGATTCTCCCATTATCCATCTTTTATTACCTATATGTTTTAACTTTTTAGCAGTTTGCTAAGATCTCAAATGTAGAGCGTTCCAATTTAAATTTTTATTGGTGTTAAAGCCACAACCTATATTTTATTTCCACAAAAAATTTTAAATGAAAATTTCAATTTGCCCTTCTCAAGATCAAGCCCAAATGCAAAGGGCAATCTAATTTTTTAGCACAAATCACCGGGTAAATAAAATTTAGGCTGTGACAATATCATTTGTCCTCTCAAAATCATAGCTTCAATAAGCCAACAGGTAATGTTGCAACGCAAGTGTGTTTGGATAGAGTATTATTTGAAATAATTACTGTAGTACTTTTTGTGATTTAATATATGTGAGATAAAAAGTAGTTGAGAATATAAAAATGTGAATTTGAAAATGTGTTTATGATGCAAGCGAAATATTATTTGAAATAATTTGACAATCCAAACACAACAATAATAATATTTAAAGACCACAGAGCTATTGTCTCAAGGAAATTAGGCTTGGTCGAGGTGGGTGCCTTCCGACTTCGATTAAATTTTGTGCTGAAAGTTACATATTATTTTGTATCCTTGCGTATGCATAGAAAACAAATACTTTGCGCCGGCAATCAAGCATCAGACGTCTTATTATACATATTTCCAGTAATGTCTGATTGCAATCATTCTTATACATATTTCCTGATTGCGTGTAAACAACATGTTTGCGGCCCAAGAAGATAATCTTCCGCCGAACCATACGCTAGTCTTTTGCGTCCTGTACTTGCGTTGTTCTACCACTGATTATAATAATTGGCCCTGGAATTGGGACTCCGAATATTCCTAGTGTCGATGTATTTATATTCCTCACTATTGTTATTTTGGCGCAACGGATCTTCTGTCCCATATCCCGTGTCATTCTCTGTCTCACTTTTTATTATATTGCTATTTGTCCTTCATAAATATCATGTTTTAATTCTTTTTTGCTTTCTTAAGATCCAATAACTATTAATTGAGTAATACACAAAATTTAACAAACTCAAAAAATTAAAATGCATAAAAAATGAGATTTTTTATGAATTTTCTGCTATATTTTTTAATTTTCTATTATATATTACTTTTTTGAAACTGTTGTATTTATTTTTTACTCAATTAATAGTTATTGGATCTTAAGGAAGCAAAAAAGAATTAAAACATGATGTTTATGAAGGATAAATAGGTGGAAAAAATTGTTGGCAAATTTACAATCTTCATCTATCCTGCACCTTTGTCAACTCATCCAACATGTCTTAACAAGAATATCCAAAATAAGAATGTAATTTACTTTACCAAAATCACAACTTTTTAGGGTACAAATACTTATTTGTTTTTTGCACAGTAATTTTTGTTCAAGTCGTATTTTTTTTAGAGTTTTTGTAAAGAAAAAAAAGTAATACATTTCGTGTGAGATATAGTATATGTGATATTAGAAAAATTGTCAAGAGAATATTTTTAAAAATTCAAGAAAAAGATGGGACCTAAATTTGGACGTACCATTTTTCCTTTTAAATCTCAATGCGCAGCCATAACATATGATGAGCTATTCTGCTTCAAGTTGGAGAATCCACCTTTGAATATCAAAATAATGTGTGTGTGTTTTTTTTTTCCTCATTTTCCATTTTTTAGCAAACAAATCGAATTCACTTTTTTTTTTAGTGTTTTCTAAATGAAGAAAATACGTATGAAGGAACAGGTCATCATGAGCCGGACCAACCAATACTTAGCGTGCAGACCCCACACAAAAGACTCCAAGGACCAGTATAAACTAAACCCTCAACCCATATCAACCCTTCTTTTTAATTAACGATAACCAGGTAGCCATCGACCTCTTCGCCGAAGCCCCTCCTCCCCGTCTCCCCGCCTTTGGGGCTGGGTGAGAGGAGAGACGTATTATTTCTCCATCATGTCCCACAACCCCACCATTCCTCCATCACTCTCACCGCCCCCAACGGAGTTCATACCGGAGCCCCGGCGGATTCAGCCAGTGCCCACACCTACTCCATCTCTGTACAAACAAAAATCCTGGTCTCCGGACACTTATCGTGATGAGGCTTGGCAGCGGCGGAAGGGAAATCACGACATTCGCTGCAACCGTCGGAGTAAGAGCGTGACCGAGGAAGACCTTGAGGAACTCAAGGCTTGTATTGAATTGGGTTTCAGTTTTGACTCCCCAAAAATGGACCAACGTTTGTCTGATACTTTTCCGGCCTATGGACTATTTTATGCTGTAAACAAGAATTACAACGACACAGTTTCTAAGCATATCACTTTGGCATCGCCTTTCTCTTCCACTGCCTCGGACTGCGACACGCCTTCCCCTCTTGACAGCCCTCATAACATCTTTGATCCAGGTATATATTGCAAAATCCTCTTTTTTTCATTTCGCTTTTTTGGATCATCTCTTTCAATGTTTTTTTGGTCTCTTAATTCAATTACTGGTTTTAGTTTTTGGATGTGAATCTTAGTGTGGATTGTTGTCACTATTATTGATTGAGGATTGGATTTCTTTATTCGGTTTCCCCAAGACTGAGCTACTTTCGTGGACAGTACATATCCAAACTCCATTTCTCGTTATAGGGAACAGAAAGCACCCTTAATCCGAAATTCAGTTGATTTGTTTTTGGAGCTGTTTTGATATTTAAGTTTGATACAGATGTTTATTTTTTGGGCATGGAATTTTGGATAGAAATCAGATCTTGATTGGGATGTATGTGAAACAGGTGAAAATCCACAAACGGTGAAGACAAGATTGAGACAGTGGGCACAAGTGGTTGCCTGTGCCGTTCGTCAATCTTCAAGGTGAATGATGACGATGAATTGGATACAGATGATGAAGATGATGAACAGCTTAGTAGATGAAGTCTTTGTTGTTGTTCAACCAAAGGGTTTCATGATAGTTGAAAAAGTAACCAAATTCCAACAAATTTGGTGAAGTCATGATAGTTCTCCTATTCATGTTTCACATTGATTGACATAAATTATCCAACACGTCCACCGACTGGATTAATTGCTCGCATGCTTGCTTGGTAATTTGGTTATGTGTAGGAGTACTAATATACCGGTAGTGCCTCACCTAATGGGAAAAGGATCTTGGAATTTCTTGAGGTGTTGACTTTAGCTACTATTTGGGTGCTTGCTTTCCATGATTGGTGTTGTTGAATCTGTATTACATTAATGCTTTGCTTCGGCTTTTTTGCATCTGCTTTACCTTTTCCCACTTGGGTTGAGGTACTAGATTTCATTTTGATGTCTGCCCCATGATGAATGATGTGGGAAAAGATGATGCCCGTTCCTTTGTTTGATTGAACATACACATCCTTTGTTTTGTTGAAGTCTGCCGCCACCCCCCCCCCCCCTTTTTTTTTTTTTGGGTAAAACGTACCTGCTAGCTTCTTGTATTAAGATTGGATCAGCGTATCTCCTGTCTTTTGAATAATCTTCTCTACATTCTGGCTCAATTAAGCCACTTAATTCCTTAATATGCTTCAAGCATCTATCTGCTTATTTTTTTGTAACCCAGTGAAGTGTACGATGATTTAGTTTACAGGACGAAAATTAATAATTTCTAGTTTTCTACTGAAATTCCATTTTTGTAAAATTGCACAAAATCACCTTGATGGTTGAAATACTAAATGACCTGGGTCCACAGGAATGTTGGTTCTTTTTGACCCAGTTCTGTCACTCCCTTGAAATAGATTAAAACAGAAGTAAGAGTAAGAATAGACGGTGACAACTGACAATTGATCCAAAATACAAAATACAAAAAAAAAAAAAAAGACGACTAGAACTTATCAGAGAAATTTATAAATCCGCGCACGCACATATACCCATCTACGCCACTTACATCAAATGTTTGTAGATTTCTGGATTCTTCTAAACTTTGATTGTCGATAACAATTTGGTTTAAAAAAAAAAAGTAAAAAAAAGGCAATAGCGACCTAATGGACAAATTTTTAATCTGTATGGTAGAGGCCCAATTACGAAGATTGCTGATGCAGGCTACTTACTAAGGTGCCCAAAAAGAATTCTAGAACAGCGATAGCACGTTCAATTCAAGACCGGCCCGGGAAGAATGTGATGATAAATTTTACCTCGTTGCAGTTTGGCTTAACCGCTAAGGCTGAGAAACTTGAGAATTGAATATTTCTGCAGGCGCCAAACTTGGCTGATTTTGATGATTGCACGGTCAAGATGAGAGCTTCAACTTGATGTGCTCTCCCAATTTATTGAGTCACGATAACTTTTATGGGCAAAGATAGTAAGAACTAAGAAGTTCTTTTGACTTTTTTTTTTTTTTGGGGGCTGCTGAAGACAATAGGCAGACTTGAAGGGTAATAGAAGATTGGAGGTCTATTCTGACCAAAAGAGAAGAAGACGGGACATGGGAAACTGCAGAAATTGGCAATGAACAAAGCCAGGATTTTGCAGTCGTTTCGCTTACTAAAGGAACTGAGAGTTTGGGTCCGTATAGATTTGATTCTCGAATATTCAACAGTATTCTGATGCCGTAATATTCAGATCAAGGAAAAACATGCTTGCATCATCTTTGAGGTGTTCCCATTGCTTTGGATGCGAACGAATAGGGAGGGAAGAAGACCCGAAGAATTGAGGTGTTTTCCTGTCCACTGTTAAAAGGGTTCCATTGGGTGGGATGCAAATCTTTTGTACACAGGGTAATGTGCAAATAGTTTTAAAAAAAATATATATATATATATATATTTTGGTAAATTGAAGAATCAAGAGTGTTGATTCCATAAGCACAGTCGATTTCTAATTGAAAGCTAATATGTGAAGTTACAAGACCACTACATGAAAACATTCCTGCAGACCAATTTCTCAAGTTCGACTTCGACCTTTGAAAGCATCGCAATTTCTTGACTATTACTTCTCCAATTTGAACCCAAAATTCGAGTTCCATTGTTGTTACATCTGGCCATCCAATGGTTCAAAATAGAAACTTAAAAATAATGTTGTATATTGCATAACAACTAAGTGATATGAAACCACTTTGACGAAGCAGCGGTAAATATTTCAGGCGCAATGAATTCTAAAATAATATGAGGATCAAAACAACCCAAAAGATTTAAGTAAGAAAGAAAGAAAGAAATGGAAGGGACCAAAAGATTTGCCTGCATTTCCATAATCATGACGAGGAAAATGGAAGGGGCAAAAAAATGCTTGTGTAACGAGTAAGAGAAGAGCAAAAAAAACATATTCTGATACAAAAGTATAATTTCAACAATGTCCGCTTCAACAAAAATTTGTGAGTGCACTAAATGATTAATAAGTTAGACTAATATTAGCTGTGGTTAATGACGCACTCAATTGAAGTTATATTTTCTAATTGACCCGAATACGTATAGAGCTGCTGTTGGACGCGTTTCCTCGAGCTAAGTAGTACTGCAGCGGAAGAAGAAGATGTCACCTGGTTTACCCAAAAAAGATGAAAAAGAAAATGAAGAAAGCAACACATTTTTGGACTTTTGATGCTCTGAGGAACAAACTATAGGTTGAATGGGCACTCAGCTGCAAGTGTTTGACAGGGTCACGATGGAAGTGAAAGCCACAATTGGCAACTTGTATCTGGTGACTACTTTCCTTAACCTTTACACCGATAATTGAGGTAATTACTCTGTACAAAAAAAAAAAAAAAAAAAAAAAAAAAAAAAAAAAAAAAAAGAAGAAGAGAGAAAAATCAATCCTGGCAATTTGAAAAAGACAACTAAATAGGTCAAACTTTTGTTTTATGATCCTTGAGTAAGCAGGCTTTTGTTTTTAATCCCCTTTTCTACAAGAGTAAATCTTATATACATTGACTGTATCACACTATCATCGTTGGATCGATGACATGTGCACAAAAGTGGAAATTTAAATGCACAAAAGATGAATTTTAAATTCACAATTTACATATTTGTCATTCATTCAACGTTGACATTGTATACATTGTCAGTGTAGGAAAGATTAATTTTTTTTATAATCTCCGATCAAATAATATCCTATAAGCCGAATCTTTTAACCCAGTCTCAAAGCATGAACCATAACAATTGAGTGTGTTTGGATTGTAAGTTATTTGAGATATTTTTACTGTAGCACTTTTTGTGATGTGATGTATGTGAGATAAAAAGATAATTGGAAAGATAAAAAGGTGTATTGAAAATTGTAATAATAATGTAAGCAAATATATTTGAGCAAATAACTCACAATCCAAAGTCGGTAACATTTCAGGCTTAGCTCTTTTCGCTGTAGTACAATTACTATAGTTACACGGGATTATTACGTAGGTTATTGTGGAGGTCAATTGTTACCAGGACTTCAACCCCAAAACCCTCACCCCAAAGGACCAGGGTTCGAATCCTGGGGAGGGCCCCCTCCAAACACCCGTTGCTGAGGCGGACAAATACACAATTGACCTCCACAGTTATATTCGCGAATTGTACGAGTGCGAGGTTGTTGTAAGGAAGCAGCTGCTTGTGCATGTATAGGTGATGAAATTGACGTCCATTTCGGAATCTGCTAATGTTCCACTATCATGTGTTAATGGAGTGATTGAGACTCCATTTGCATTCCCTGGAAGTTTCATTCTTTTCATGTCCACATCTGGATGCTTATTATCACTAATTATTGATCAACTCTTCCAAAGGTTTAGAGATTACATTGATGCAAGCATATATAAATAACGCCTTGGCTGGACACTTATTTATAAAGTCTGCTGTAGGAAGCCAAGAACTTCTAGAGATCTATATGCTGAAAAAAAAAAAAAAGAGGGAAGAAAATAGTAGTCTGTTTTTATCTTTTATTTTTGCAGGAAAAAGACAGGTGGTCCGAATAGGCACGGGCTCTTGCTTTTCGAATATGAATTCTGGGAGCCCTAACTTCTGAATAAGCAGATTCATTCCTCCGTAACTAAGAGAAATGTACCAATTAATTAATCCCTTACAGCGAAAAATATGAAGACTACTCCATCTAATAAGAGAAAGGGTAGTAGTTTCCTCCATGCTTTGATACATCACTGCGCCCATTAGGCTGGTCATTGGAAGCTTTTGAAAGCACAGTGGACGTAGGATTCTTTTGCATGCATAGCAGAAATCAGTGTGGCATACTTGGGTAATTCCCGTAAATTCTACATGGTGGAAAAGTTACTACCAGAAAATATTAGGATCTAAAGAATAATATTACTTCCTTTAGGGCGATTGCATTTCATTTCAATCTAATCGGGTTTAAATTATTGCATTAAATGGTAGTTAGAATTAGATGGTTTATGGTAGACGGAAATCGGATGTAGTTGTCTAGCCCTATGCCTCGACAATCAAGTAATGACTACAACTTAAACCTAACGCCAGGCCTTCCGCCCATCATACTTATTGGCCTGTTTGGAAGCTTGGTTTTTTACCAAGTTTGTATAAAACTAGTTTTTTAACAACTTTTGCTACAGGAACCCCAAAAAACTTATCAAAGTTTTTAACCTACACACTTAAAATATCCAAAACACAAAAAAAAAAAAAAAATTCCCTTCCCCTTTTCTTCTTCTTCCTCCCTCACTACCATCTCCATTGCCGGCTCCGTCACCAATTTCCGATGCCGGTGCGGTCTTTTTTTTTTTCCCCATTTTTTTCCCTCTCCCCCTCTTCCTCCCCTGCCATCATCCTCCTTGTCTTTTTTTTCTCTTACGTCTGGCGCAGAGGGGGTGGCACAGAGAGGGGCGGCCAAGGGGCAGAGGGGGGCGGCGGGGAGAGGGAAGGTGGGGGATGGGGAAGGGCAGAGGGGGCTGCGGGGGGGAAGATGGGGGAGAGAGAGGCGGCGGGGGAGGGGGAAGGGCAGGAGGGGGCGGGGAGAGAGGACGGGGAGGGGCAGAGGGGGGGGGGGGGAGGGGAATGCGGGGGAGAGAGGAAGGCGAGGGGGGGAAGGGGCAGAGGGGGGCTGCGGGGGGGGGAAGATGGGGAGAGAGAGGCGCGGGGGAGGGGGAAGGGCAGGGAGGGGGCGCGGGAGAGAGGGAAGGCGGGGGAGGGCAGAGAGGGGCTGCGGGGGGGAAGGCGGGGGAGAGAGAGGCTGCGGGGGGAAGGGGACGGCGGGGGAGAGAGGGAAGGCGGGGGGAGGGGGAAGGGGCAGAGGGGGACGGCGGGAGGTGGAGTTGCAGCTGGGGGTGGTGGAGGTAACGGGGAAGAAGAAGAAGAAGAAGAAGAAGAAGAAGAAGAAAAAGAGAGGAAAGAAAAGAAAAAGGAAAGAAAGAAAAAGAAAAAGAAAAAGAAAAAGAAAAAGAAAGGGAAAGAAAAAAAAAGTTTTTCACCTTACAAAAACTTTTACAAAATTTTTCACCTAACAAAAAACTTCTACA